CTGAAAGACAACTGGTCAGGCAGGTATCTTGGGTCAGTGTGTGCAATGTGCAGCTCTTTAAGGAAAACACTGATGGTGGGGATAGAAATTAATGCAAGACACCTCCCTTTGAGCTGTATTTAGATGCCTTTAGCCCCTTGGGAGTCCCACTCAGGGATCTCCTATGGAACCTCTGTTTTATATTCAAAGAACTGAGCAGGAGCTATGCTCTGCCCTTACAGAAAACTCACAAGAGTCATCCCCCGTTTTATATTAAGGCTTTTGATTCAGCATTTGAGAGATTTAGTTTCATTTTTAGTGCTAGAGGACAGGCAACCCTTATCTACTTGTCAGGAGTCTCCAATGAGGAGCTGTATTGGAGAGGAGCAGTCTTCATTTCTCTGGCTGAAGTTGGGTCACTATCCAGTAAATAACACGGCTGAGCCTGCCTGCATCTGATGCCCAGGCATTCTGGGAGGAAACAGTCCCTTTAAAAACTATTTTTATATATTATCTAAGGAACAAAGCCAGAATATGTCCAATTTCAGGACAATACTGTACCTATGGAGTAATACACCCTCTTGAGCTTTCCATTGATGATCCTGGATCATCTGCATCCAGGGTGAATGCATTAGCTTTTTCATGTGCTAAAGAAAAAATATTAGATCATTTCCTTTATTTGGTTGCATTAAATATTACCTATCACTGTGTTTTGTAAGGTGCCTCATTCACCTGCTGTGCACTCGATGTACTCAGAGCAATTGCTTTCTTTTTTAAACTTGTTAGTAGAAATGGAGGAAAATCTGTTTTCAGGATGCCAGTTGTCCTTATGGGCATGTAAAGTGCTGAGCAGGTCAGTCTGTTAAAAGGATTGCGCGTGTTTGTAGAATTAGACTGTTCAGCACCAAAGGAACTTTTTAAGGTGGTTGACTGTTGCTCAGGCCAGCCTTGGTGCTTCTGCAACTGATACGTGTGCAAGGCTGTAAGAGTAACAACCCAGGAATTAGTTGCCTAAATTTTATCAAGATCCCACTGGAATTGTGAAGGGTCTGACCTTTAGCAATGTTTAGGTTTCTCTTCCTCACGCTGACGTTGGTGGGAGATGGTCGCTGCAGCAGGTGTAAGAATCTGGCCCTGTGGAGCCTCACTGAAGCGGGCAGGAGCCGCTCCACGTGGGTCCAGGAGACACAGTATCTCAAGCACCTGATCCTAGCAGAGCTCCTTGGAGGCACTTCTTAGTTTGGTGGTTTACTTGTATTCAAGTTTGGGCAAGCATATTCAAGCAGAGGCTTACAGCTGCATAACGTCTGGGCTTTTTGAAAGTATCAGGACCTTTCATTCCTTCAGTGAAACGAAAAACACACATTAACCTAATTAATTAAATTGCGATGTTCTTTTTTGACTTAAGTAAAAAAAAAAAGATTCCAACAAAACAACATCAACAAAAAAACCTCAACAATTTTAAAAGTTGAAACCTGTAATATTAAGACACTAGTGAATTACCTCTTGCACAATGAATTTTCTTTTAAAGTGTAAGATTTATTCAACAGGAGGTTTGGATACATGGAAACAGGTCTGTGACTTGGTGAATATGTGAAACAAGAGGACAGAAAATCTGTATACAGAAATGCTGTCTCGGTATTTCTGGAATACTTACACTTTGTAAGGTTTTCATGCATTGAAGATTTTTCAACATAATCCCAGCCTGTTGAATGTGTCTTTTTAAGTTGTTACAGATAGCATTAAATTAACATAGAGCGAAAAAACTCCCTGTAAAAAAGTTAATTATATGCGGATCTTTTCTTGTTGACAACATTCTGTAACTTATTGTCTCTTACAGCAAGAAAAGGAAAAAAACAAAAGCTCTTCATAAAGCTTTTGTTAGTCTTAGCATCCAGACTGGTATTTTCCTGTCTGAACTCCCTCTTCAGCTTCCAATCTGAGTGAAAACAAATTCCTGTAAAATTGTGCTCTATGAAATGCACTAAAACACCTTTATGAAAGAGAACTGTAAACATCTCCTCTTGCAGGCATTGCTCTGTAACTACTGAAAATACCTTGCTATTATAATAGGCTAACTTAACATACAAATCTTCAATTTCTTTCTTTAGATGAAAGAATAGCACAAATGATAATGATTAAATTAGGCATTTAAATATAAGAGAGATGCAACTCAATTGAGTTTGGAACAATGAAGAGAGAAACAAAAACAAACAAAAAACCCCCAAACCAACAATGAAAAAATCAGACTCAATTCTAACCTGTGTAGAAGTAAAAGTGTTGTATCTAGTGGGCAGAGGGGCAGAGATATTATCACAGAATGGTTCGAGTTGGAAGGGACCTTAAAGATCACCTTTGCAATGAGTTGGGACACCTTCCACTAGGTCAGAAGATCTTTAGAAGACTGAAATGCAAGGTAAAAGACTTCTTTGCATATTCTATTGCTATAAGCAGCCATTAGCCCTGTAAAATGAATTTTATTTTTTTTTGAGTTAAAAGATATAAACTGTATGAATAAATATACATGTATACTGCAAAGTGTTGTCTTAATGTTGAGGGCAATGAGAAATTACAGAGTGTGATTATTCTATGCTGTGGTAGCCTCATTTCCTGAAGGAGAGACTTCTTAGGACACCTTTTGTGGTTGCAGTTCTCAGCCTTAACTACCACCCCAAAAGGATTCTCTCCATCTGGTAGCCCTCTGGAGCCTAATTTATGCTTCACAGGTGAAAGCCATTGAGGAAGGAGGGGCATGTGGTGTTTTCCTAACACATCATAGGAGGAGGTTAAGGAACTCTGTGATGCACTTCACTGACATACTACTGAAGAATGCAAAGGAAGACCCTCCAGAGCTTAGGGATCCTTTCTGTCTACATTTTATGATTGAAATTCCTTAAAAAAGCTTTAAGGGAGGGAAAAATCAATTATTAATATCATATCAGTATACTAGTTTTCATGCATAAATTTTATCTTGCCTGCTTTGATAATTAAACCCTCTAAATTCAGAGCTGAGTTTTATGAAAGCCCTTTATAATTATATGGTTTGCAGAGTTTATGTTTTCTGACCTACATTATTTATAGATAAAAGGAAAGAAAGAATTTCTTTTCATAATTTTTGTTCTACGAAGTATTTCCCTACCTTAAAGTAGTTTCTAAATTAATGAAACATAAATTGTAAAACTACACAAACAGTATTTTTAAATGATAAATTTAAAGAGTTTGCTGAGACCAAAAGGATTAAATTTTTAAACAAATGTTCTTACTTACTGGAATTGTATAGCAGACATATAAAAGGCAAGTTGTGACCAAATCAGTACTCTTTTTGCAAATACAATTATAGCTGCTTAAGAGAAACATGCTATTCATTGTATCGTATGATAAATTAAATTATTGCTTTATTCTGCAAAGATTTAATTTTAAATGCATTGACAGCTTCAATTGAACCTTTAAGATTACGTATATAAATGTTTAAGGACACATAGGAATCCTTGTAGTATTTGAGGACAAGTGAGTCAGCCAAAATTCTGTTTCATGAAGTATAGTTATTATGAAAAATGTTTCTTTCCTAGTAGGTTAATTTATTATAGTTGCTTATTCTATATTTTAAAATCTTTTCTCCAGCTGCTGTTCTTGGGCAAATATTTGCCACATTTTGCACTGAAAGATGGATGTTCTGGATTTCATTTCCTGAAAATAGAAGAGACATGTTTTAAAAAGTGCTTGATTATATTAGTGTGTCATGCTAATGACACAGATGACAATGTAAGAGAAAAGGAAGAGAAATATCTTAGGTGCTTTGGAAGAAAGTCTGTATTTAAATTCTTCTTTTCACATCCACTTAGAAATTAAATTTTGATTTGAGTATTATTTCCCTACCTGATTGTGTAGGAAGCGTTTGTCCAGGTGTAAAGTACAGAGGAAATCCTAGAACAAGTCAAGCATGTTCAGACAGAAAAGGAATTAACTCCATTGATCAAAAATTTTTGTTAGGATGGCATAAAAGAAGATGATTAATGACAATATTAAAATAGCAGTAATACTTAAGTGCTTACATGCAGAATGTTCATGATCCAAGCTAAGTCAGCTGTGTAGCCACCTGATCTGGAAGTGCTTCAGGTGTTCCTTGTTTGACTGAAAGTTCCCTAGGACCTGCAGCTCTGCTCTGCAGGTGAATAGGACAGCCTTGGTTTGAAGAATCAAATTCAAACCTCATGAAAGTCCCATGGCAGACCAGGACCATAGCAGCAGAATGGCTGTTTCTCCAGAAGAGACCAATCTATCAGACACACTCTAATCACGTCTGGTGTGTACTGCCAGGGTGGGTTTCACAAAATGTATCTGCAGCCCCATTGGGTTCATGTTGGAAGGAGGATCCTAGAGCCAGTTGTGTCTGTCTTAGCCACTTTCTGGAGAAAACAATAGTAGCAGGGCAGCCGGGCTCCAGGGACTGCACCAAAACCTGTAGTGTCTGCTTTATACCTCTTTTCGTTCCTCTTGGTCACATACAGCAAGATGATACCCAAAACTCAAGGGAGGGAGATGCCAGAGCAAATGTGACTCTGTAGCCTAATAGCTGGAAACGTGCATACCCATGATTTTGCCTTTTCCTTTCTTTAATGATAATTTCATACTCACATGCTTTCCTTTCTTTAATGAAATTTACGTGCTTACATGAAAATAGCAATATACATACTGGAAGCAGGAGTTTACTAGAACGTGTTCTTGTGAGACTCTAATATTAAGCTGTCTCCTGCATGGATACGGATGGCTGAGCTCAGGTGTTTCTCAATGATGACATGGATGAATGAACAACACATGAGAGGTATCTGGCATCTGGTCAGTAGCACTCAGTGCGAGAGAGCTTACACAGAAATTTCAGATACATAGACTAGATGTTGTATCATAGTACAGAAACTTATTCCCATAATCATAGAGTCCATTTTGGGAGAGACCACAGCTTCTGGTTTTCTTATTACTTTGAGATTTTTTAGTAAAGTAATGAAACACACTTCTCTTTTCAGTGTTCTGTTTCCTGTGGAAAAGGTTTGAAGTTTCGTGATGTGCATTGTTTTAATAGCTTCCAAGCTAAAATAGAGGAAGGAAACTGCAGACATTTGAAAAAACCACGGACGTACAAAATATGTAGAGCTGGAAGATGTCCTGCTTGGAAGGCCAGCAGATGGAAAGAGGTATGTAAAATCTGCTCTAATTATGTTCTCTGTGAGAGTACAAGACAGGATCGTATTCATGACACATTGCTTCAATGGAAATAATTGCCAGGAATATTTTTTTTTTAATGTACATTGCAATGATATCTACAAATTAAAAAGTAGTTCATTATCTTTTCCTTTTTTTTTTTTTTTTTCCTTTTAAGAGTAATTAAAAGTAAATATCTGCAAAAACTGAAGGTAATTGGTAATCTGAACCTTCTGGGGACTGTCTCTTTTCACACGGAAATAACTAATTTTGATCTATTTCAGTGTTCTGTATCCTGTGGAGTGGGGATTCAGGAAAGGGACATCTACTGTCAGCTGAAGGGCCTGGGTCAAGTGAGTGAAGCGATGTGCAATCGTGATACCCGGCCTGCTAGCAAGAGGCATTGCTGGCTGCCTGCCTGCCTGCAGCACCGGTGGTCGGCAGATGAATGGGAAGATGTAAGTAAAGCTTTCAACTTGTATGAATAACAGAGTGATGTCATAAGTTCTCTCTCTTTTTTCTTCTTTTTTTTTTTTTCTTTTTCTTTTTTTTTTTTTTTTCCCCACATTTGGATACATTTCTAATAGCTGTTGTGTTGCATAATGACAAGTGACCATGCTGGATGTTTTGAAGGTCAGGCTTGCACAACTAAAGAGAGTGGCAAAAAATGTCAAAGGCTTTGTTTACTCCTATAAAGGATTTACTTGTCTACTGCTGTAGACAAAAACTCTGGTGGAGATCTGAGCACATCCCTATTGATAGAACTGTGTAATTTTAATACAAAATTATTTATATAGTGCATAAAATGCTTAATAAAATGTCATTATGAAATATTTTAAAAATATCTTTTTAAGAAAAGAAATACAAAAGAAATGTCAGCTGGAGGTAAACAACACGGAGGTAAAACCTTTGGACAGCAGTGTTTTCTAGAAGATCTACATAGACGACTTGCCAGAAAAGATAAGAAGCAAAATAAAACTCAGCATTCTCCCACCAAATAAGCATTTCAATATTAAAATCGGAAGATGATTTGAGGAGAGAGCTGTCATTTTTAAAGATGCGGTGACTATTTTCTACGTGCTAAAAATTTAATAACTTTTGTATCCATGTGTGTAAGCATACAAAGATAGATGAAGAGGGAGAGAGAAACCCAAAATTTATGCATAATACCTGAAATGGTGCACAGAAGAGCCTGTCTCTTACTGTAATGTTAAGCAAATCCCAGTTTGTGCAGTTGTGTCATCTTAATAATCTGCATTGTTAAATTTTGTAGGGTAAAACCCTGAAACTTTGAATGTGAAGTCTCAAAATCTCAGGACACAATGCTGTAGAAGTGACTACTCTTAATATATAAATGATTTGTTGGTGCTCAGCAAAACCTGGATTGTATTAATGCAGTTCAGACATGTATTCCTCTCTTAAGCTATATTGACAGAAAGCTGACAATATATGTTTCTTCCAAGTGTTCTCTTCTCATATGAAGCTGTTAAAATCAGGAATTAGTGGAAGTGGCTCGGAATGTCCTTTTAGCACAAATACAAACTTTCTGAGAATGAGGCTGCACTTTCCTATCCCGTCAAACGTTTGTATACTCCAGCTGGGTATTTGGAGCTCTCCCCTACAAATGCTTTGTGTTTCACTACGTCTTCTGGCTAGTTCATCAGTGCTTCCACGCGGATATTGCTGATTGCTTGGAATTCCTGGGTTCAGCTCCCCTCTCTCACCAGATTCACATATAGCCCTGTACATCTTGTATTAATAGTAGTTCAAGTGTTTATCCATCTGTATTCCACTCCCAGTGCAGCACGTCCTCTACCGAACTCGCAATATTTTGCCCAGCTGTCCCAGCTCTGAGGTCTCATTTCCTCGCCTCACCAGCCACAGCACAGCAGAAAGATTTCCAGATCTAGCATTTCTCCAGCTTGCAGCTGGGAGGCTGGCTGATAGCAGCAGCCAGCATTCTCCTACCAAATATGCATTTTCATGCTAAAGAGAATAATGTCTACAAGACTGATGCATAAAGCATAACGAAGACGATTCTTCTGTCTGCTCCCATTACCTCATGACTGGGTTATTCCTTATGTGTCTGATATTCTGAGCTGCTCCGTGCCATTGAAAGATCAGGTGTTTCTGTAAGTTAACACCAGATAACTGTATCCACACTCCATTGCCTGGTACAAGTCTACAGCGAGACTGAAATCCTTTTTTTGGCTCTTCCCTTTTCATACAGAAAAGCTTTTACACTCAACCTATCATCTTGGCCTGCCGTTTTCATTTTCTTCTCTGTCTCACCCAACAGTTACAGTGTCATGTCAAAATACACAAGTGTTTTTTCAGCTGATTAGAAAACAAAAAATCCTTTACTTTGAAAACAAAGTAAAGATTTTGATTCAGTGAGGAGTAATTCAGTCTGGCACTGATAGCAGATGCCATAAAAGATGTTGCTGGCTGGGTTTTACTGGTGTGTGGCAATCAGCAAATAACTCTGCTCTGTAAATGGCTAGTTTAAGTACAAAAAATTGTGAGTGTTTTTCTCACTCTCAGTGCTCAGCATCTCATAGAAGAAAGGAAATATACCGGAAAGTTAAGTGTGTGGATGAAAAACAGCTGGAAGTGGATGAAAGTTTCTGTGATCCTGCAACAAAGCCTCCATCAACCAAAACCTGCAGGATAGCTCCCTCTAAATATGTTGTGTTCTCAGGAGATCTGTCACAGGTAAACGAATTATACTGATCACACATCTTTTATGTAATTTTACATTTAACAATGTTACATTGCTGTAAAGCATACATTATGTGTGCAGGGCAAAAAAACCCTATATTTTCATCTGAACAGGGGTGTCCAAACTTTCTCCACATTGAACCTTCCAATTAGCCATAATTTATTGTAGTGACTGTTATCAATCTTCTGGTAGCCCCCCTGGGACTTATGAACACCAGCTAGAGGACAGAAAGGAATACTACCAGAGCGTTCCTTTGCTGGTTCCCGGGGAGCTCTCTTGCACGCTGATCTCACTGAAGTAAACAAAAATCTCTTCCTTGATTTTGGGGAGGTGATGGATGAGTGCCTTGTTTCCCTTGCACACCTGCACTACCTATATGTGTGTGTCTGGAACCTCTCTGAGAAAAGGACAGCATGGGACTCCCCATCTCCTTGCAGGTGTAACTCTTGTAGACCTTCACTTCTGCACACTGATGTACCAGCCCAGAGGTGGCAGGCATTGGAGGACAGGCTTTTGCTGAAGCGAGGATCAGAGCTGACTTATCTGTACCTGCAGTGCTGCAGAAAGGTTGTTTCACTAGAAATAATGCCCATTCTTGGGGATTTTCTTTCAGTGCTCAGCCAGCTGTGGGTTTGGTTACCAGCAGAGGATCACGTACTGTGTTGGAATCCATTCTGTGCCAAATCAGCGCGCCCGTGGCCTTCGAACTGTGGCGTACCCAGAATGCCCCGTAGAGCCATCCCCGTACATTTATAGATGTAATATCAAAGGGTGTTCACAACCAGCCACCTGGAGGGTGGGGAAGTGGACCATGGTGAGTGCAGAAGTGCAAGCTGGTTTCTGATAGCTGCCTCCAACTCGAGAGAATGCCGAGACTAATTTGCTGACATAATTATTTACTGCCTTCCACCTCCAGTGCTCGGTGTCCTGCGGAGTGGGGGTGAAGGAGAGAACCGTAGAATGCGTGACTGAAAGTGGCTCCTCCAGCGACTTGTGCCTGCCACGCTTAAAACCAGATGCCAGAAAGATCTGCCGTGAGGAAGAGTGTAAGAGACAGCTGCAGTTTTCAGCTGAACTTAATGTTTTCCCAGCTTATTTATATAAAAGCTATAAATGTATTTGGAGAACAGTTATGCAAATTAACTCCTAAAACTAAGCTCTATTGGTGAAATATTAATATGATTTAATCATTCATTTTGAAGGTGAAATTTTTACCACCTGCAAAGATATCCAGATTAAAAAAGGGATTAGAAAGGATGGTGAATACCTACTTAACATTAAGGGAAGGATGATAAAGGTACTTTTAATATTTATGAGTTTTTTATCAGCACATATTTTTATGAAATAATACTTTTCTAATAAAGATTTTGCTAAAGGGTTGTATTTTCTCTTGTAGATTTATTGCTCAGGCATGCACTTAGAGAATCCCAAAGAATATTTGACACTGGTAAAAAGTGAAGCAGACAACTTTTCTGAAGTATATGGATTGAGGTACAAAAGTCTTTCTGTAACTTTATGAAGTGCATTTACTTATTCCAAAATAAAAGAATAAAATAATGCTTAGGTTTGAGAGAACAGATGAGTAGAATGTTTTTTTTCCTTGATTTTCTGTTTTGGATATCCAGTTCCATGAACATAGAAACATAGAAATGTAGATACTTCCCGGCTGAAATTGTGTTAATTGCACCAAACTATTTAAAAAAATTTCTATCTTGACTTTAGTAGAAATGGTGTAGAAATTAGTGTTTCAGTTGAGTCAAGATTAATAGCTGAGGTTCTTGTTCAGTAACTGTTGTTTAATATTTTTTATGGAGCATAGTAGAATGCAATTATTTCTCAATACGATGCAATGTTATAGAAAAATGTCAAAAGGAAAACTAAATCTTTGCTATTCTCTAGGTTGCAGAATCCATATGAATGTCCTTTCAATGGAAGCAGAAGGCAAGACTGTGCCTGTCGAAATGATTACCTTGCAGCTGGTTTCACGGTTTTTAGCAAAATAAGATTTGATGTAGCCTCCATGCAAATTCAAAGTAAGCATTTTGGTAGTTTCAGCCAATGTGAGCATTCTACTGAAATTGCACTGGTTATGATTATGAAATTATCACTTGATCTTGTTATAGATCTAATCATGCCATTTTTTGGATAAACAGAATTTTTATTTCCTATGGAAATTCAATGGGAATTTTAAATAAAAATTTAAAAAGGAGAAATCACACTACTTCCCTTGTTATTTTGTCCCAAGTGGTCAAGTAGCATGAATCTTACAGATTCATATTTTACATGTGAACTACCTTCAGTTTCTACGATTTTGTTCCCATTAGTCCATTTTCTTTTAGTCTCTGGTATATTTTTCTAGAGAAAGTCTTTCTATGCTGCAGTTGGTCTCATCTCAGACCTTGATGGACATATGAAATGGACAGGGAACCTTGCAGCACTTTCAAGACTCTGTCTGAAGGTGGCAACCAGCTCACTTGGAGCTGCGTCCAAGTGCACATCCCTCTTCCTCTTAACCCCTTCCCATCCCAGAAAGGAAACTGGGCTTATAGGGTGTTTTGATGTTGCATTAACTGAAATGGACTATTTAAAATGTAGTTTGTAGGAAAAAAAAATATATCCAAACCAACCAAACAAAAAAACCAAAATAACCCAAACAAAAAACCCCAAACCCAAACACATACAAAAAACCTCAAACAAACAACAAACACAAAAACCCCACCCAAACCAAACCAAAGCCCCCCATGTTAATGCCTTTCACATTGTTTTCACCTGACCTCCTAATGCCACAGTTTAAATGTTGAGTTATTTTCTGTTTTCTAGCCACAGATTTTCTTTTTGCTCAGACTATACTTGGGAGAGCGGTTCCATTTGCTACAGCTGGAGATTGCTACAGTGCTGCCAGATGTCCACAGGTATTCATGATTTCTTATCCCACTGAAAAGTGCATGAAAAAGGGGAAAAAATATATCTGTGGCTGATTTAGAGCTGTAAGGTTCTGAACAAATATCCTATTCTGTCTAGGCTGTGTCCTACATTAAGAAGAATTTTTTTCTTACTCTTTTCTCTTCTCTCCTACCAACTCCCTCCTTCCCTCCTGGTTTCTCCCTCAAATGTTTACTCCACACTTTCCCTCTAGGCACCATGTATGTATAACTTCCTATGTATTTAATGTATGACTCTCCCTCCCTCTAGATGTGATGTATCCTTTGTTTCCCCTAATCCTTTCTCAATTTTTATTCTCCTCCGATGACTTTCCTTTTCGATAATCCTGCAGAATTTTTATCTTTTCTGTTTCTCTCCTGACTCTACATGTCTTTGAAGACTACCAGAGGAAATCAATCCTCCTTGGCAGTATAATTTAAAATAATACATCCATTGATGTTTCAATATTAATGTTTCAGTTTGGACTGGATGATGCTTTTTAAATTAATCTCTGTAGTGTCCTAGTTTACTGTTTCTTGGTTCACATCACAGAGCAGTAAAGACATGAATGGGATGCTTTCTGGATGAAACTAAATCAAACAGTGAGCTCCAGAAGAAGGATCTTAATGTGCTCTAACTGCTAATGAGGATTCAGTCTGTGGAATTTGATGAGAGTTTAGTCCAAAGTAAAACTTCTCTCTGTGTACAGACATGGGGTTCTCTCACCCAACATTTTTATTCTACAGATCTGCTTATGCTGCAGTGTCCTTCTTGCTAGTGGAGACGTAGCCCTAATCCAAACTGGTCAACCTAGGCTGCTTTTGGAGTCCATTGGCAGAAATGAGATTGCCTAAGAAACAGTTCAGCTAGTCTTACCCTATTAGACATCTTGGGATGAGGTCAATGATGCCTTGGAAGGGCTTATTTTTTTACACTGGTTATAAAGGGAGTTAAGATTGATTAGCTCAGACTTGCATGGAGGTGAATCCCTGTTGTCCATCCACGAAGACAAGCTATGTGGGTGGACACGTTCAACGGCAGCTAGAGACAACTTATGTACAATTTAGGTATAAATGAGGTACTTGAGTTAGGCAGACTTAACCCCTGACAGGAAAATGGTTGGAGCTGATTACAGTATTGGACACCTTCAACCTGCAAACTCCTTGGGCTTAGTATGATAGACATCTGTTTACAATCTGTAACTTCTGTTGGGAAGCCATTCTACTCACCTGGTTTCTCACCGATCCATTTCCATCTATAAGATCTGCCCTGAAACTAACAATTTAAATGCAGTAAAAAGGCCTCCATTCCTGAACTCTCAGTCCTTGAAATCTGTTTCTGGCCTTGAGCATGCTGCATGACATGACAGACAGCTGTTAAGCTGTCATTATAATTGTACATAGCACTTCTCGTTTGTTTTTGCAAAATGACATCACTGTGAGTGAAGTTAGTTTGGGCCTGTTAATCGTGGAAAACATTCCACCCGATTTGTATAACTTGCCTCTAGATGCTTTATACATTAGATGGAAATATTCCACTTTTTGGGCACTTGAAGAACAACCTACCCTATCCATATGGGCTTCTGTTAGCTCATCCTAAGTATGAGAACGCTATGAATACAGCAACTTTACACAGAAGTGCTCTCAAAATAAGTTTGCCATACTGAATAATCTAAGACCAAATTTTTATGAAGGAATTTCAGTGAATCACAGGAATAAAGGCTGAATACCGTATTTTTATATATGCACAGATATATACACCCATACAGATATATGTATAAAATCTATATCTGACTATGACAATATTAAGCGATAAAATACAGAAGCTACCATATATAATAGAGCAGTTATCTTTGCTAAAGCTTTGATCTCAGAATTTAGCCAAGTTTAAGTAGGTCTGTACACAAGAATTCAGGCCCTCAGTGAATTGTATGGAGGTGTGCAGGAGTTTTCTGATTGTAGTGCTGCCTTAACTGACCATTTGTGGAAGCAGTACTTCTTTCCAACATATTGTGCTTCTGTCTGAATGCAATTTAATAATTTTGTCTACCAAGGCATTGCAATTTGTTTTATTTTAACTTTTTTGTTGTTGTTTTTGTTAGGGTCAATTCAGCATTAATTTGGCTGGTACAGGTCTGAGATTGTCCAGTACAGTGAGGTGGATTGCTCAGGGCAACTATGCAACTGCTGACATACACAAATCCCACGTAAGTCAATGTCATTTTCCCTTTACCTGCTCTTATGGCTTGGAATATTATGCCACACAAGTGATGACTTTCTAGTGAAAGCTAGTTATGAATCAAAAATAGTGCTCAAGGTCTCTGACCCATCGAAGTCTTCTTCCAGATGTAATGCAAAAACTATGTTTAATCGCACTGCCCAGGATCTAATACGATCAACACTGCCTGCCTACTCTTCCCTTATAGATTTCAAGAGCCTATTGTTAAACTAATTGGGTTTATTAAAAGTTTTGAAGATACCTAATAACACTTAAAAAAATAATAATAAAAAAACACTCCAAAAACCCAATTTTGTTAAAGATACCCTGCTACAGGGGATCCTTACAGATCACTTGCCTCCAACTTGATTCCTGTGGGAAAGCAAAAGACCAGTTGAACAAGAACAGTAAATGTTCAGTTTAAGACAACTTTGGATGGTGAGCCAGGAAAGAAGGTATAACGCGATACTGATAAAGGATCTCTGCCCATTTTGCTAATTTGACACTGCCTCTTGATTTAGTATTTGTAGGTACAATTTTTCAAGAGATCTATTGTGTGCAGAACTCAAGGAGCTTTTTGTACAACTCCGATTTCAATCGCTTTTCTTGATTGACTGTTCTCTTTGTCTAATTCCCAGGATGGTACTAAAGTATATGGAAGATGTGGAGGATTTTGTGGAAAATGTATTCCTAACACAATTATTGGTCTCCAACTTCAAATATGAGAACTCTGATGTGGTAAGAGCATCCAAGCAGGAACATCTGTCCTTTAGGTGTAAATTGTAGGTGCTGTGTAAATATATATTTTAACTGTTTCATCTCTGTAATGCTTATCACTGTAATGCTCACTACTAAGAATTCCTGGTTTGTTTGGTGTTTATCCAGGGATGTATTATCTGTTTGTGGGCTAGCAAGTGCATAATTCACAATCATAAGCCTTCAGGTTTTAATGGAGAGGCATTAATTCAATGTACAGTATATATTAGCAAGTAAATTGCACTGAGGTTACTACCATGGGTAACGCTCTAAACTGTGCCATAATTGTAATACTTTACCTGCAACTAATCAGTGCAATTCTTTATGCAGTATTTGGTAAAATTTATACTCTTCTGGCTTTCTTGATCAACTCTGCTAAAATATAGAAAGGGAAGACTTATTGCTCTATAGAGAAGACAGGTAATAATTTCAAATACTTCCAATTTTGTGAAGCCTTTTAGGAATTATCTGTCAAAAACTTACAGCAGAAAATATATAACCAACATACTTGAGATACTTTCTACAGATCTGTGTGTTTCTCTGTCAGTAAAAGCATTTTTCCCCATCCCTTTCATTATATTTTTTGTGGTGCTCAAATGCTAGCAATAATCCAGAGATGTGTGGTTTAACCTCTGTAGTCTCTGTAGCACATGTTAAACATCTAGGCTTAATTTTGTTGTGGTTACAGGAAAAAAAATTGCTTGGAAATCTGATTTTAAATCCCTGTCTCTCATCCAAGTTTACTGCAAAAAGCAGTGTGCTCTCTTCACCATAGCATCTTGTACATGACCATATGACTATATATTTACTTAAACATTTTCCATATATGCCTTACTCCTTTATACTGGCCAATGGCATATTAGTGAAGTGTGTGTCCCTCATATTCCAATTCAACACAATTTTCAACAACCTTAGTGAAAACCCTGGGCAGAGGCAGCATCAAGCCCCACAGTGGTTTTGGTGTCCATCTTTGACTCAGTTTAATTTTTCAGTGTTTGTAAATACAGGTTTAACATCTGCTAGTTAAAAATATTTCTTCCAGAAAAGAAACTGTATGAAACAGCTGCAAGGTTTAAAAACCAATTTAGCTCTTTGATTTGTTGTTCTCTATTACTTTACAGTCCAGAACTGCAGATATGTATGCATATAAAGATAATGTGTTTCAGGGCCAATTCTCAGGTATTCAGAATAAAATTTTCTACATGCATAATAGCATACATTAGGTACCAGATAACTATGCATGCTTTTTCTGACAATATGCAGTTTGTAAACCAAATATTTGTTTTGCATGCCAGTAAAATTGGTAGATCAAATGGCAGCTATATCGTATTTTTACCCACAAAGAGTTAGCCATGAATTAGCAATATGTATTAATTAAAAACAATACTGTACCACAGAAGTGTAAGCAGCTACTTTTTAGATAACACATGTAGGTAATTATTTTGTGATCTCTGCATCAGAAATGTATTTTTGCACTATGTGCCTTATATTTGTTGTAAACATTAATAAGAATATAAAGCATTATTTTCCTAGAAATGTTTACATTTATAATTAAAATCTTGTAATTTATAAAATATTTATATAATAAATATGCTTGTGTGAATGGTACCAGAGTACTTTTGATTTTTCTTTTTTTTTTTTTTTTTTTTTTTTTTTTTTTTTTTTTTTTTTTTTTTTGGTATTGAATGCTTTGCAACAAAACATTGCAAAAACATTTCTTGTTTATACACAGACTTATACTGGAATAACTGCCACACAAGCAGGTTATAGCCATAGGAATATTTTCTGGGGAAGCAAATCCTGCTTGAGAAGTACAAACTCCACATCTGTGGGCTCTTTCCAGACTCTCCCTCCCTGTTCACTTATACCATTCCACTTAAATGCCTGTGTATGACAGTTAATTGGTACCTCACTCACTTAATGCAGGTAAAAGCAGGGCTGGAGGTCAGCTTGGCAGAACTGATGTGAAATAATGTCCTGCAGGCTAGAGAGTGGCAACCCTGAGGAAGCATCCGTATCCTCTGGACCGGCTCCTGATCCCTCATAAGGCCTGCTTTGCTCTGCTGTAGGACTTGGCCATCTTCTCCCGAGCCTTTCTGATTTTTCAAGGTGGTCTCATTGTATCCATGTATTAAAAAAAACTTTGAAAGGGGGGGGCATCATCAGCCTCTCTCTCTCATGTGTTTTGGAAATAGGCTGAATAGATCATACAAAAGGTAAAGTATTGCTTTCCAAGTGCATTCCTGCTTCAAAATACTGACTCTCCTTCAGACAGCAGTAACTGTGATGGCAGCAGGGGAAAATTACCTGCATTTTATTCAAAGAGAAGAACAAAGTGTCTGACTTGGAGTTGAATGTGGCATTTAATCTTCTTATCCACAGAAGGTGATTTTCTTTTGCACAATTAAGTTTATTTTGCAATACCGGGGCTTGAGAGGCTTTTCTGGGCTTTCTTTATCCCAGCTTTAGAGAAGCAATCTGTGCTCTGTTTCTGATAAACTTCTCCTTGTGTTCAGTTATGACAGATATTCCTTTGAATCAACTGTATAAAAATACTGTAGCAGCAGAGCAGAGCAAAGATCTAACTGTATTTATGTCTATATTCTGCCTTTAAACATGAACAGCTGTGCATACATTCATCTGTCTCATGTCTGACTCTGCACTGCCATCCAGAACCTTTTCCTTTTTAATAAACAAATGTTTCCTTCTTTAATCTGTGCGTGTGTTTTCTCTCTGTTCCTGCAACAAAATTTTCGTGTCCACATATGTTTTTCAAATCTTATTTGTATAATTAAACAAAGCATGCAATGGGGAGAACCCACTCTGTAAATGGTAGAGAACTGCTCCCTCTCAAAGTAGCTGAAATAAAACAAGCTATTTCTGTCTTGCACACCATTGCTATTTTGTTTTGGAAAGCAAACCCCTACATTTATGAATACTGAAAGACTCTTTTTGAAATCACTGTATGGTCTTCTTTTACAAGTCTGATTTACAGAGGCAAGGAACGTTCAAGGAGAGCTCATGAATTTTCTATATGCAAAAGGCTAGGGTGATTCATAGCAGCAGCGTATATTTACGCCTGGTGGGATGAAATGCTTTTTTGCACTTCAGTTGTCTCTGGCATCATTCATTGATTGTGGTAATGACATTCACGGTCAGTTCATCATTCTCTGTGAGGTGATTGTTTTTTTTTTTTGATGTTCCCTTGGAAGCTGGAATAATTAAAAATGTGGTTGCTCAGAAAACAAATCGAAATTTGTGCTTGTAAAATCAGGTGGTAGAAAGGTTTTTTTTTAATGTTTTGTATTTAAAATGTCTTGCAGAAAAGGCTTGTTGTAAAAACATTTATTTAACACCTCAGTAAAGAAAACAGCAGCCCTGCTAGTATTTGTGTCCCTGGAAGGTCTGCAACTCTGGGAAAAAAAGCTGCCAGCAGTAGCCCCTTTCATCAGGGTTTACAAGGTATTTAGCTAAGAATTCTTTTGCCCTGCAATTATTGTTTTCTGTCTCTGGTTTGTTACTACTTTTGCCAGAAAAGTAATGCTGTCCCCAGTACCTTAACCGAATTCCTGCTCACAACTTCTGAGAGAGGAGGTGAAAACAGGAGTAAATTTGTAGTTGTTACTTCAAAGGAAAAATGCAGGACCTGTGTGCTAATGTAAGGGCAGTACTAGAAAGTGTATAGTAAAATAGATTATTTTACTTCTGGAGTCCTCTTTTCCATGCCAGGATTAGAGATTTATTGCTCTTTCTTATGTGGCTGGGTATATTTTTGGTATTATGCTACCAAATACTTACTAAGAGGGATTACTTTGAGAGGGATCTGTGGAGGCTGCAGATAGGCAGGCAGAAAAGAGGGAGATTTTCTTTGGGTTGGAAGCACACCCTCCTGCAGTGTGTGTGCCTGGCCAGCTGTCGACAGCATTGCTTCATGTGAAATCCAACGTTCAGGTTGTTTTCAAAGCGGAGAAGGAAGTGAACTGTTTCCAGCAGTGACTTACAGCCCTCTCTAAGCAGAGGGATGGGGAGGGCTTTATCTCTAAAATGGAAACAAGCTTCTGGCTACCTGAAAAGCTTCCCTCGCCTGTAATCACACACACCCCCCACCATTGTTATCAGCCTTCTGTTGTTACTGCCGTAATAAATTATACATCAGCTGTAAGAATCATGAAATTTTAATAAAAAAATACATCTACAGGCAATTCTGTGCTGTGCAGTGCCTTTTTCTCTCCTCTGCTTTGTTCCATGCGCCACAAACATTTGTGTCAAACCTTTTGTATGCGCTGACTTTTCTAACTGAAACAATCTTCTTTTGGAGAAAGTAGTTCAATTTCTTTCTTTCATTCTGTTTCACTCACTGAAAAAAATAAGTGAGGTAGCATATTTTAATGTTATTGCCCCAGAAACATAGATTCAAATAACTGTATATTTAAATATTTCTACCAACTGCCCCCACATACACACTCCTCATCAGTCCTGTGGCATTTTCCATGTCAGAAAGCAGGAGCTGGCACAAGCATAAGAAACAACTTGGCGAAGTTTTTTGGGGGTTTTGGGGGGTTTGTAATGTGGTACATTACAAAGCAACGTATGTGAGTTGGTGTCACCACTGTTGGGTACAATAAAAGACTGCAGGCTCTGATCCCACAAGTCACCGTACCAGGGTCTATTTCTAGTCCTTCACTCAATCCCAGTAATACGCGTGTAATTCTGTGCTGGCGCTCAGATCTAGTGCTGGGATCCAGTTCCTCATGCTTGAGACCTCAGGCTGTGGGGTTTTTTGGACATTTGTTCCCTGCCATGTGTCTTCCTCTAGTGTTTTGTCCAGGACAAACCATGTGGTTTATTTTTCAAAATATACTATTGCTAATAGGATTATAGTAGAAATGATATAACACAGTAAGTTTTGTGGGTTTTGGGTTTTTTTTTTTAAATCAGGAGTTGCTATTCAACATTTCTGTCCTACTAGAAATGTTGCCAGTTAAATAATTCCCCATGGCTACACAAGAATCAGCTGAGGGCATGTTTTGCTTTAAAGTTCTATCTAGTTGCATGTTGTGCTGCTAATTCCCACTGCCTTTACTGCATGAGCCAAAGCTAAATGACATGATCAGTGCCATGCCAAGTATAAGCTAAAAATATTAGAATAATAGGTATGAGGACATTAAAATGATCTCTTGACATGCAGGAGACAGGCTGTCATCCCTACAGAGCTGCAACTAGCAGATGATAGTCTCAAACCTAGGTCTTCATCCCAAAAAGAGCATGCTCCTAATTGCTGAATTACAGAGCATGTCAAAGAATCTCCCTTGCGTACATAAAACCTCTGGTTGTTTGGCTGGGAAATGTTTTATTTTTCCACACACCTGGTTGACCCAGTCCTTGCTCCAGTAACAGTGTCACTGTGTCATCAGGAAAGGGCTCATCCGTGCGTTGCAAAAGAGGGGGCTGCATCCCTCCAGCATGGACTTCAGTGGTCAGCACATCCCTTCCAACCTAAACCGTTCTATGATCTCCTGGAGGCAATGTGGGTAGCTGGTTCCCTGGAAGTGCCTTCTGTGAATCTCATAACCAAGCTTTATTTTTTCTGCAGCTGTATTTTTTCCTTATTTTTTTCTGTATCCTGTGTGTGGCTGTGGCTCACACAGCATGGCAGGCCACCTCCAATGCTCGGCACTGAGGTGTCTGCTGTGTCCCAGTCAGGACAGATCTCCTGTCCTGCTGAAGTTCAGGAGCCACCTGTTTTTCAGCCAACTGGAAATAGCAAGACAAAGAAAATACAAAAGATGTATTCTTCAAATCTTCGGTTGTTTAGCTTAGGGTTCTTTACTGTTCTTAACATTTGTTATCTGTAACAAATTTCATGAGTTCATTAGAAGAATAACAACAGGCTCCAAATGACATCAGTGGTCTATTTTATAACGGCCTATACAACCGGAGGCCTCAGGGCACTGTGACTGTAACCCACTGAACAATGAAATATGTAAGGTTTATACGCTGTTAAAAAAGGGGAAATAATCTGTTTCATGATTTCCCATCCAGCACCCTACATGCCTGCATTGCAGTCAAAGGTATTTCTTGATAAGGAAATGTGTCTGTCCATCTAGGCGTGAAATTTTAAACAGGTCTGTGTCATGGTTTATGCTGGACATCCCGCCAGGCAGCAAATAAAATCCTGCCATCGTGGCTACATTTGCCCTACGAAGTAGTGGCACAACATAGTTCACCTCCACACGGCTATAGGTATAAATTCCTGCTCTGAGGCAGGCGTCCCCGCACGTGCAGGGAGCCTCTGGTGCGTGCTTCCCCAAAACACGCCCACACACCCACTGGAGAGTGGTACAGACCAAAATAGCACCATGGAATGTGATGACGATTTAATGCCACAGCTAGCAGGGCAGAGGTTTGCCCATGCCCCAGCCCTGTTTAATTTACCAGTCCCAGAGCAGCCCTGAGGCTGGGAGTGACAAGACCTTCCTCATCCCTCTCACTTGTGGTCCTCGCCTTGGCCACAGCAGCATCCTTCAGATCAACATTTCCTTTTGCTGCAGAAACCTTTAACATCCCCAGGTGGGGAAGATGCAGGGATGAAGCACTTGCACACGTAT